TTGTAAGATTACTTTAGATTACCTGTTTAATAAGATGTTTTGTCGTGAACACATCATGATAGTAATTTAATTTTCTAAAGGAAAATTTTTCAGTATAAAAGAGAGGGAGAAAGGGTTAAGATGGTTTCCCCATTCCCCATATTCCTACACATCTTTGATCAGTCAGATTTTCTCGAGAATACTAGAACGACCCTTTCAAATTATTTGCGGCCTTTTAGACACCCTAAGTCTCGGAGCACTCTTAGCTGCGGCACTTTTCACATATGTATATATTTTTATAGGTGGAATGTTCTGGAATGTCTCTAACGCCACCTGGAGCTTCGAGCGAATTACTCGCGTTTTATATAGACATGTTTGTTATTGTAGATAACTATTCCGATAGTTATAGTTTTTATTGCAAAAATTGGTCCCTAACAATTATTTTTGAGCTTTATTTAATTACTCCTTAAATAACCGTTACTTCTGACTTTATTATTTTATAAATCCAAAATAACGGTTGGTTTTGATTTTTAAATAATATGTCTTAGATAACCGTTGTTGAGGACTTTTATTTATAAAAGTCATAAATAAAAATTAATTCCTAACCTTTATTTTTTTAAATGATACTTATAAAAGTCATTTGTATAAGTCGTAGTAAAGTTTTGTTTCCCAGCACCTTCTTAACTGCGAAAAATGTTAATGATATTTTTATACGAATGCTTTTAAAAATAAAAGTCGGTGACTGGTTTATATTGATGACTTTTAAAAGTAAAGTTTTATAAATAAAAGTCATTAATAACTGTTATCTAAGACATATAATATAAAAATCAAAAATAAGTGTTATTTTTCTTTTTGATTTTGCATAAAAATTGCAAATAAAAATTTATTTTCAAATTTGAGTCTCGGTGAAAAAAGAAATCGATTGGTATTAATCACTAAGTTGTAGAACATTTCCCTATCCGTGAATTTTTTCATTCCAATCGTACTCATCTAGCCTGCTTCTCCGCATATCAGTAATAATTTTCCTTAAAAGTTTAGAGTCGGAAATAACTCTCAAAATTGACGCAAGTTGCCGCTAGTTGCAAATTTACTCATTCTCCTCTCATCACTTTTTCATTGCTTTTTACGCTCCCTGAGAAGTGACTAACGGACCTTCGCAGTGCGCAATATTGTGAGGTTGGGACTTGCAATTTGATGAAATGAATCATAATCATTGAAAAAGTGAATTTAGATATATATTTTAATAGGTACGGCTAAGCGTTGCGTTTTCCATTGTCAACGGGTGCCGGCGCGCGCTATCCCCAAATCAACGCGGCGCAATTTCTGGCGTTTTCTCATTTCCTCTCGTTTTTATTCTCGTTTCTTCTTTCACCTTCTTTTCATCTTCCTTTCTCTTTCTTTCCATCTTCTGCATCTAACTTGAACACGTAACGTCCTGTCAAAAATGAAAATTCCATTTGCTCGGCGCTAGCGCCGCGTTATTGTGTGATGTTCCATACAAATCGGAGATTTGTAGCGTGGGAAGGACCCAATAGCCCTAGCTTCCTCATCTACAGTGATGAATTCATCAAGACATATGTATTATATGTTCTATGTGTTTCTAGATTTTTTTTGCTATTTCTTGAAGCCATTTTCTTGGAAAAATAAATCAGTATCATTTTCTGATTCAGCGACCCTTAATTATTTAGTTTGAAAATACACATTCCTAGAGAGATAAATGGGCTACAAAAGTAATGAAAGGAAACCATTTTCGGAACTAAGGAACATCACACTAAATACTAGATGCTTATTAAATTCTAGTGGATCGAGATACTCTAACAAGTTACTAAGTATAAGTATATGAAAGCAGTATTCTTATTCCTAAAAAATAAAGTAGCTTTACAAATGGTTATTAAGTGTAAAATGTATGACAACGTCAATTTATAAGCTTTATAAATTTTTTTAGTTTTGTGATAAGGCCATAAGTCTTTAGCATACGATTAAGTCAGTTTTACAGGAACATCTCGTAGTTTATACAACTTTACAAAAAAGTAATATCTGCACACGAATCGCGGTGTTCATGATCGGAAGAGTAATCTAACTAGTGACGTATCGAAGAACTAATCGACACGATCGATTCGAATAGGATATAATTTAGTAAATACCTCCCTTATAAAATTCCGTGTATAGGAGCGTTTTTAGACATAAATAGTCACTTCACAGGAATTTGTCTTTAAATAAAAATTTGTGAATCTAGAAAAAGGTATATCTATCGCTGTTCCAGCAGCATTGAGTTAGAACGCCAAAAATATCCTTGTGGGCACGTTTTTCCCGTCATAACAATATAACATTAGAGTTTTCAAAAAATATCACTCACATAAATTAATTTTAGTATCATGTCTTTATCGCGTAGTAGTTGTATCAATGAGCCAAATGTATTTGGTTACATTTGTGGTGAATACACAGCTGAAAGGTTTCGAGAAGCTCTAATTTGAATGGTGTTAATTAAGGCTGATGAATAAACCTTCGGTGAAGTGAGCAGAGACAGGAATTTCGAAGGCATATCGTCTACAAAGACTAAACCTTTCACCCAAGAAGAATCAAATGTTGTGATAAGGGCTCTAGAACAAGCTATAAAATCTGCGGAAATATTGGCTTCAAGATTAAAACAAAAACACTTGTTGTCGCCAGGTGCAAAAGTGACGTTGTATCGTACAAGAGACCAAGGCTTGCCACCATTTTTTTCATTCCGAAAATTATACTGTTTTTCGTTCAGATGTGGAATGCCTAATTCTGGTAGAATATCGTAAATCAACTTTAGTTTGCATTTGAAGCTGGACCACATGAACTATTTATTACGACCTAGACAAAAGTGAGCAATGTTAAATATTAATAAAGTATTTCTTAAGTTCGATGAACGATTACGAGCATCCTGCGTGGGTTCCATTTGTTGAAGTAACCAAACATATTTTGGGAAATTATAAGTATATTAACTGCTTCAAAATCGGAAGCGACATGATGGAGAGCTTTAAAAGTTTCGGATCTCATGAGTCCATCAAAGTACACTAACTACACAGTCATTTTGACAAAATTCCCAGATAATCTTGAAACCTTACACTAGGACCGGTTTGACCTAAAGAAGTGAGGTACCAAAGATGATGGGATCGTCATATGCCGATTGACAACTGCTGGAGTATACACCGTGATTGTTTCATTACACCTACATAATAACATATTAAATTCAGTTTTTGATGAAATTTTGTATTTTTATCCAAAAATTCAAAAGCTAGAAAACTACTCGAAGCAAATTGGAATTGTTGTGAGTATCAACTTTGAGTAAATTAGCGTGCTTAGATTTCGAAATATCGAAGCCTCGACATTTTTGAAAACTGCATTTATATGCAAAGTGGGCGTAGATTACAGTCCGATTTCAAAAATTTGCAATATCTTGCTTTTTTTTACAAATACCATAATTGTACCGAGTTTGGTGCAAATTGATGCAACGGTTGCCGAGATACAAAAATGTGGTCAAAAGTGGGCAGTGTCACGCCCATTTTCCAAAAAAATGTTATAATCGTAGTGTTTGCTAAAAAATTATTCCCAACATTAATTGTGAGCAAATTAGCTTCAGTATTTACTAATTTATCGCCAATTTTGTATTTTTCTAAATTACCGTAAGTAAGTGGGCGTGGTTATTGTCCAAGAGATTATTGTAAATATCAATTTTGAGTGAAAAACTTTTAGTAGTTACTGATCTACCGCAGTTTACTTAAGTGTTTCTGCAAACTACCGTTACATGGGAGCTAGGAGTCTTTATTGCCCGATTTTGCCCAGTTTCAATACCATTCGTCCTTAGCTCAAAAGAAATACACGCATGCAGTTTCGTTAAGATATCTCTATATTTTTAATCGTGTTATCGTGTGCACAAACGGACGGACTGATCATCACGGCGTAATCGATTTTTTTCTTTTCATTTTGAGCATTTTTGAGGAACTCACATTGCTCGGCCATCTTGAGAAAAACCAGGTATTTCCTCAGCAGAACAGTTATTTTAGGACTTCCGCCAAACACAACTCAAATGTAGTATTTATACGTGGTAAATAATCGTTCTCGTTTTTTCCCCAATGTAGCTTTATTCTAAAGATATTCAATTGAAATTAACACGGCATTGGGTATGCTCGACAACTACATAGTTGTAAGTTTTGAGTTTACCAAGGCAGGTAGATTTCGTATTTGTTATATTAAGATATATTTATATGTACATATACACTTAAGTGGAATTTCCACTAGGCAATGAAATGACAAAAATGTATGCCATTTCAAAAATGACGTGTGGAAACAGACATAATGACTGTTCTGATGAACGTCACGGGTATTTTTTAATGCCCACTAATGCCATTAAAAATTTGGTAATTTCATGCCTAGTGAAAATTCAGCATTATAATTAAGAATTTACTTGAAGCGCTCAAGATATTTCCATAAAATAATAAAAGTGTGTGCATATTAATTCTGATATGAAAAATTAGACACTGCATCGGAAAAATAATAACTGTGTGTTTGATTTAATAACTAAAACACGATAAAGTGATTTGCGGGGTTGAATTACTGGTACGAGCACTCCGATTGACGTAAGGACACTTCGTGGCTCATTTCTGATTACATTTTTTAGCCATTTTACCCAAAATTTCATTACTAGCGATTTTAAGTATTTATGTCTGTATAAATAACATGTCATTTCATGTTAAAATACTGATTTATTGTTCTTATTGTGTAATTTAAAGTACTATTTCTCAAATTTTTCTTTCGTAATCCTTTGACTCATTTATACATAATTTCCTTTTGTGCTAAACGTTTGGTTTCTTTTTTGTGAAATTTTGTGTTCTTGTTTTCTATGTATGTATGTATAATTTTTTGTGTGTTTTCATTCTCAACTACAAATCAAAAATGTATCAACACGAATTTCTCATTATTCTGTCATTGACTTTTCACACGCTCCTCTCTAAATAAACGCCAAAAAATATGTATCTCTATGATCGAAACAGTGGCAACGTTCAGGAAAGGCGTCCGCGCCGTCCAAATGGTGGGACGTGCAAGTACGTATAAAAATTCAAATACACATTTTAAAAGAATTTTGAGTTTTACTTCATTTGCCTTTAATTGCCTTTTAACATTTCTCATCATTCGATGCTATATTTATTTTGTATTCAGACAATTAACCTATCAAATACTTATGTACATCAACACACATGTATGTATAGGCATTCACATGCACACTTACATACATACATGCCGCTATGCAGACACACAGCCACATAGAATTTTTTTTGGTAACTTAAATGGTCAGCGCGCCATATTTCATTTAACAAAATACTAAACCAACGACACAAGCCACCAAGCAAAATTCAAATAGAAGTTACAGAACTGTTCTTTGGTGTGTTAGCATAAGCTTGTCATATGACTACATACCTACATGCATATGTATGTATGTATGTATGTATGTATGTATGTAGCAAACGCAAACGTAGAGCCAATGGCACACTTTTATGAAATGCAAATAGTTCGTGGTTGTAGCTGAACTTCAATGCTGCTTATCGCCACGTTCGCCACTTTACACCCCGCGCTTTCGAATTAAATATCTATGTATTTTGGTGTATCATTTCTCATTTGATGCACTACCACATACTACGTACATATGTACTTTCAAATCGTATTTACTTGTATGTGTTCATAAACATGTTTGTATGTATGTAATCAGTATCATTTCAGTTTTGAGTTTTCCTTTTTTGGTTATTGCATTCGTTCTTCAAACATCTGTATGTGCCTTAGTAATATAAGTACATATACATATGTATGTATACATAGTACATAAGTGCGTGTGCGTGTGTGTTAGTGTCTGTTGCTTAAAATGTTGTAAAAAAAAAACAAATAAATTCATTTAGCAGCAATTTCGCGATTCAAGCTAAAAACAAGCATATCAAGCCCTAACCGATCTAGATGTCCTAGGAATATTTCTGCATCAAAAATAAAATTTTGAAAAATAAAATGTCGCTTACGTTATTTTGGCGGTTAGGGCTCGATATCTATCGCAAATTTTTAACAAATTGGCTTTGCATAAATTTTAGTATCAAATAAGTTAGCTTAGCCTTTTCCATTCAGCGAAAAGCAAAATTTGTATGTTGCTCATACGCACTGACACCCAGGCGCAGAGGCACTACATACATACATATGCATTTAAGAGCGAAATACACCACACAAGCGGTTTGACAAACCAAGCGAAATTTCCCTTTGCTTCAAGCCATTTGTGCTGTGTATGGGGGTGTTTGAAGGTTTGACAAACCGCCGTCAAACCTTCAAACACCCCCATACACAGCACAAATGGCTTGAAGCAAAGGGAAATTTCGCTTGGTTTGTCAAACCGCTTGTGTGGTGTATTTCGCTCTTTATGTACATAAGTATATGTATACATAGTATTTACTACTAATTATGTTCCTCATTCCTTCTTCATGCGCATTGTCTGTATGTAGTACTTATACAATCGAATATCTGTGTCCATTTACTTTAGTGCATATATTTACATGCTCATGCATACATAAGTACATAAAACTAACAGCATAACATATTTATTTGAAGTGTTTTCTCTTGTTTTTCTTTTGTCATATTCGTAATCGTTCTATATTGATTTTTCTATATATTTTATCATATTTCGTGCCACATTCTGGCTTTTTTGTCTGCTATTCGTAAGAATTTGAAAGTTTTCCTCTGTATAATATACAATTAACATTTCAAATCAAAATTTGGGGTACCGAGTTAAACTGGCACAAACACATAAAATCTCACCAAATAAAAAGTGTAAATTTAATATTTTTATACTTGTATTCATCATTGTTTTATACTCGTCTAAACTTTTCGTTCCTTTATTTAAAAAAAAAAATATTTGTTTCCTGTTTCAATACTTTAGTTTACATAACTACATTCAAAATTTTAGTTATTTAAAATTGTGCATTTTGCTTAAGTAATATTTTGAGCAAAAATGTACAAATTTCACGACCAATTCGGTTCGGTGGGACACCCCTCCTTCCCAGAAATTTTCATATATATATATTTTTTTTTTGCGGAATATTACATCTACATGAAGTAGTACTGCTCCTGGCATTTTAAAAAGAAATTTTGTACATTGTTTGACTGGCACTGTAAAAAAATTTTGTTAAATTGTTGTGCTGGGAAAAAACATCAAATAAATACAAATACAAATGAGTTATTGTCCATGTTTGCTGGTTGGCCCTTCAGTATCCACGAATGGCGCTAACTTAATTATGGTATAGGTTCGGTGGGTGCGCAGTAGGCCTATCGAATTATTCTGCTTTTATTAGAACCAGACTTGGTACCTCGCATACCAAGAAATACCGTGATACGAATGATGATCAACTTCCCGAACTACCTGCTTTGTGTCTTCTTTGTGAGCTTTTTGTGACTGTATATCCATAATTGGTTTGTGTTTATTGCGTAACTGTAATCAGTCATCCCCATGACATTTTTACAATATCTCACCGACACAATATCTCTTAACACTCCTAAAAAATATTTCAAATATTAGTCTGATTTATAAGCGGCCCATTTGCTAAATTTCATCTTAATCCGTCCAGCCGTTTTTGAGTGAGCAGAAGTCTCGCATTATTCAGTTTCTCTGATTTCAAATCACCCTGTTCCAACTTCAAAAAATGAAACGTTATTTCACATCTACTAATTTTTAAAATTCAAACGAACGGTGCAGATCTTATGATCTTCACATAAACTCCTTCGCGTATTATATATGTATATTATATATATACATCAAATAGACTTTCCGAATAGGCGGCAACCCTAATAAAAGCATTCTCAAACTAAAGCTTTATTAAAACTGCTTGGTTTGACACTCATATTTAGCTATATCATAATTGATAAAATAATTTGCATTTGATTATTTCAAATTCGTGGCACCCCTTTTAAAATATAATTGAAAAATAAAGCTTTTCCAAAACCATTTCGTTTGACCCATATTTTAGTAGATCTTTTAATGTATCAAAATAATTATTTAAATTAAGTTTTTGAACCGATGGCAACCCTCTTCAAACACCTCAAAAGTATTATAAATATTCAAACTTAAGATTTCTCATATTTTAGTATTTCATACAACTTGTGCAAAATTTTATTGAATTGGAATTTTCAAACAGGTGGCAACCCTATTCAAAATATTTTGAAACTGAAACCATTTTAAAGCTCTTCGTCTGATACCCAAATTGTAACATACATCTCAGTTACCTTAATTTAAATTGGATTTGATTTTTTAAACAGGTGGCAACCCTCCTACATATAGTTAATAAGTGAAAGCCTTTTCAGAAACACTTCTATTTATACTCGTATCGTAATAATTGATTTAACTTGATAAATAATTTGAATTCAATTTTTTAACAAGTGGCAACTCTTAACAAAAAATATCTTTGCAAATTATATAAGTATTTTTCTGCGTAATCTTAATCTCAAGCTCAATCTCTTACTCAGGAATTTTTCAAACAGAATCCAGGGTCTGGATACTGTAACTTAAGAAAATGTAGTGTACACCGAGTGCAAAACGAACAACCATTCACTAACTAAAACTCACAGTTAAAGAATCTAGTCCCAGGTAATGAATAAACAGTTTGTTTAGGAAATCTGAAACTAGTACGAGTATCGGATTATATATACATTGAACAAGATATGGAACGGTTAGATAGATAGATATATAGTTACTTAGATATCAAACAGGAGTATGCACTGCGACTCACCGAGTCTATTGTCCCATCTACTCTACCAAACACTGCCTAGAAGCTTAGAAGAACTAAAAGCGTTGCCAAGTTGAGAAGAGTGCGTGTGCTCATACTCAGTTCTCACCATGTTCTCACTAAATCTAAACTCTCCTCAGCTCTTTGTGAGCCATCCTCACGATCAGATGCGCAGAAGCGACAGAACGCTCATTTATGAGGAGCAGTGGTGACAGATGTGGGGATTTCGCCCCATTTTGGGGATTTCTGAAATCATTTGGGGATAGATTTTTTCGTTTGGGGATGTGGGGATTTGATGGGGATTTTTATTTGATTTAAAATCTTCAAGAGCGCGCTCTCTTTTTTAATTGGCAAAAGAGGAAATCAAAATTGATTGCTTCTGAATTGAGTTGTAGTGAGGGCAAGCCATTTTTGCGAGTTCAGGTTTCTTCCTGCATATATGTATGTATGTATTCTCAGTTTATACCACGCAATAAGTTCTTAGCTTCACAAAGGTGCTTAATGGTGCTTCGCCACTATCGTTCTCCTGTCCTGAAAAAACTGTTTACCATGGTCTTCAAAAAAAAAAAAGCTTTATATTATGCCAAAAAGCCAACACGGAATGATACATATATATGTGTACATACATAAGTTTGTATATTTACACAAAATATGGAAACACGCCCGCCCACTCTGCTGCGCTGTGACATCCTCATGTTTCGTTCGTTTCTCATTTACACCCGCAAGCATTACCTCTTAGTGATATTTTCACTCAATCTATGTACTATTTAGTTGCTTCTTTTAATTTTTCATTAATAAAATTATTGTTTTGATTTCTTTTGCTTCAATTTAATTTCTTCATCACAATATTTTTTGTGTAATCGACGTTGTGTCTTAATCAATACATACTTATTATGTACTCTCACTGACCTAATTAATTTATATATATATATATATGTGTGTATTATATTGTGAAAATTTTAAATAAAAACAACAACAATAAAAATACAACAATTTTTGTACAAAATGGCTAGAAGACGATGAGTACTCGCTCTACTCAAGTAAGTGTGCAAATATACCTAAATACTTAGTACATAACTACATACAAACATAGTACAAAAAGTGTACCTGCAATTCAATTCGAAACACACAAAAAACAAAAAGTCAATTATTCGTACTCGTTCGTACTCGTGAAAACAATAATTATGGGATTGGTTCTGTATTTCTTTGTGTGTGTGTGTTTTTTTTGTTTTTTGATATTAAATACGAAAATTTAAACGCTCGAAAATGCTTTGACGCCGAACTCGATTAGCGGG